TTCCACCCCAAACCACCCCCGGCGCACGCCGAAAGCCGCTCGCTCCACCCCTGACCCCTTCAGCTCCCCCACTGCACCCTGGTTCTCTCGAATTGCGTCTTCTCCTCCCCCTCCCCCTCGCCCCCGCCCCCTCAAGTCTGGATTTTGGGGGGGGCTCCAAGGTCCCATGGTGAACCTTTAGGGATGTCCCCCAACCCAACGGTTTGCTTTTTTGGGGCACAGCATGGCTTTTTGGGGCACCCCAGCTCCCTTGGTGTGCCTCTGGGAACACCCCAGACCCCTTGTGGTGCTTTTGGGGTGCAGCCCCTGGGCCACGCCCCAGACTCCCCCCTTTCGCCTCTCAGCGTGCTCCAGCCCAGGGGCCGGCTGTCTGTCCGTCTGACTGTTCCCTCACAGCCAGCCCCAGGGGACACCCCGGGGGTCCCTCAGGTGCCACCCGCGGGTGCGGGGGGGGCGGCCGGTGGCCCCCACCATGAAATTCTGAAATTTGCTTCAGATTCGACCCAGGAGAGGAAGGAGACTTTATTGGGGGAGGGGAGCTGATCCGGGATCCACGCCATTCCAGCGGTGGGGCGAGACGAAGATGGCGACCTCAGGGAGGAACACCACCAGAGGTGTCACTTTCATTTCCAGACGCTTTGGTGACAGATTTCTCTCCAGAATTTCTTTTTTTTTTTTCCCCCCAATTAATCCCCCTGCCGTATGTAAAAAATAATAAAAAATAAAAAGACCAAACACAAATCCACAGCGTGTCTGGCACCTACCAGTCCTCAGGGGGTTACAGAGGGGGAAGGGCTCTGCTGGCCGCAGGGAGCTCAGTCGGATTTCTCCTTCTCCTTCATGTGGAGGAAGACGATGCTGAACATGAAGAGCCCAACCATCATGGAGAAGGCGCCGGCATAGTAGGGGTACGCCGAGGGGATGAAACGTTCATACTGTGTGTGCTGGAGGGGACGCACGGAGACCTGGGAGGGGAGAGGGGGTCCCGTGAGCAGGGCAGGCCGGGGGCGCCCTTCCCGCTGGGGCGATGGGCACCCACCGCGCTCTACCTGGGTGGAGGAGTAGAGGTGGGTGTAACCCAGCCGGTTGTAATCCACTTTGAACTGGAACACTCCGTAGACGTCCGGCAGCTTGAACCGCACGCTGTATTTGCCGCCTGAGCAAAAGAGATGACGGCGGTGACATTCAGGTGACAATAGGCGAAGCGGTGGAAGCGGAGCGGCAGAAATGGCCCCAGGGCGGGGCCGGGAGGGAAACCTACCGTTCCTCTTCAGGAAGGTCCGCACGAAGGGGTCGATGCGGACAAACTCCAGCTGAATGTCATCTCCGTCAAAGGGGACCCACTTGCCATCTGAAAGCTTTTCGATGACAATGCTGTACTCCTGGAACAAACACATAATGCAGGACGTTAACGAGTGATGCCTGAAAACGAACCTGGACCTGCTCAGAGTTCCGATCTTTCCCAAATTCCTTTTCCAAAGCAGCTCCCGTGTCCCCTCCTGCCCGCACCCTGGCACCAAGCAGACAGCCCTTACCACGAGGTCGGTGACGGTGTAGGCATTGGGAGGCGCAAGTTCCCCCACGCGGTGGTGGGACACCGCTCCGACGCGCAACACCCCCTCCTCCTTGAACACCCAGCGGGACAAGGCGATGGCCAGCTCGTAATTACCCGTCTGCGAGTATCTGCGGATGGAGGAAGGCCGAGAAAGGATGGGAGCCACGCCAAAAAAATACACCGCGTGCCAAAAAACCAAACATTAATAGATGTGAAAGCGACAAAAAGCCAGGCGGGGCTAAAGGAGGGAATTGCTTCCCAAAGCGCTTTGCTCCACATGGCCAAAGGAAGGTGTCACCCCCGGGTTAATTCAAGGTTTCTGCTGTTTCCCATAACATGAGTATTTTTTGCCTGTTTCCCAGGATATTCTTCCTCAAACAGCTCCCCAGATAATTGGGGGTGCCAGGAAGCCAGCGTACCTCTTGGAGCCAGGGGCAGCCTTCTGCACAGCGGAATTGAAGAAGGCATCGCTGAAGAAATCCAAGGAGCCGCTGAAAACAACGCGGGCGTTGTTCCGGGCTTGGAGTCCCGCGATCAGAAGGGTGTTCTTCCCGACCGCGTGTGGGTACTGAAAAGGAACGCATTTAGAAGCAGCGTTTAGCCAATACAGGGATGATTAAAGGAGAGTTAAGCTGCGGTTTTGCTGGAGGAACAGTCCGATTGCAGTTAGCACCGTCCGCAATTCAGTAGAAACCAGGATATTCAGAATAACCGGTAACAGATTCGCAGCTTCTGCCCTCTCCAATGGGAATGAAACCAGGAATGAAGCTGCTTTCACCTGGGCTGGCCTTTCCCCCACACCATCCCTCACACTGGACACTCTCCCACCAACAAAAAGCAAAAAGGAAGATTCCCCAAGGCAATGGTGGAAAGCAGACAGCCTGATGCTTTAAAAAATAAATAAAATCAGTCGGGAGACTGAATGCTTGAGGACTTTTTCCACGTTGCTGAAATTTGAGGGACTTCATCGTAGAAGTATAGCCCAGAAGAAAAGAAAAAGTAACGGAGCGTACCTGAGTAATAGGCTTATCTGGGAAGAAGGAATAAGAGGTGGAGGAGCCAGTCAGGATATCCAGCACCAGTGGGTTG